AAAAAAAAAAAAAAAGGAATTTTGAAGAATTCACATTTGTTGTCCAAATTATACTCTTTTTCTACTTGTGTACCCATCGTTTTTACTAAATTATAGTATTCGTTCCTCACTTATGAAACTCACTCTTATATATAATTACTAAATGTTTAAGAGATTAAATGCAAACTCGTATACTTCATAAATTTATTTTACATAAATTTGTGTTTCGTATTGACGTATATACAAGCTTGGTTTAACAATCAAGTTTGAAAATTACCATAAAATTATTTTGTTTTTCTTTTTTCTTTTTAAATGACCATATGTTACATTCATTTTCATTAATTGTCATACAATACATCTATATATATATATATATATATATATATATATATTAAAATAGAGAAACTGTCAATTTCCCGTTCAAACTTGCATTAATAAAATCTATTTTCATTTCCCTCCAAAAGGGGTTATATTTTTTTAATTAATTACTCACTAATCTGCTAAAACCGTTACACCTTAATATATGTATTTTTATTATTTAGTTTTTGGATCAAATACTAAATTAATTCTAAATTTGGTAGCAAAATATTCAAATGTGTAATGGCTAATGTTGAAACTTAAAGTTAATTGGCACATTCAGAGTTGTAACCGCTATATTTGGTTGCATTGTTGGAAGAAAAATATGATTGGCACATATTTTTATTTTTTCAAAAATCAGAAACACCAATAATTTTTTTATTTATGTTATATGCCACAAATGTATAAATTATTTTATACATGTTACTAATGCAAACTTGCATGGTTAAAATAAAATTTAAATCTCAATTAATTTTGAATGATAAATATAACTTAAGAAAAAGTAATAATCTTTATATGATATAAGTACATGTCTATTAATAAATACAAACAAAAACGTGTTTTATATATGTGTAAATGCACAGGATTCTTAAAAAATAAGAATGAATAATTTGTCACATTGTAAATATTAAATTACAATTGTACATCCATAAAGGTTAAGATCATGTAGTAATTGGCATTTATTAGTACGTTGTAAATACACATTAAAACAACATGCAAAATTTGTTTGTTATAAATAAACCTTTAAATGTTATTCATAATTATGCACTGGGAATTGCACTTCAACTTTCATGGATAAACAATTGGCTTCAATTTTATCAGTTCTTAACATTTTGTTAATTTCTATGAACTATTTATCATAGATACAATAAATATAACTATTTGTTACAAATAAAGACTAATTTTACAATTAATTACCTATTGCGAATTTACATTAAAAATTTTCCATTACATGTTTTTTTCTTTTTTTTTTTCTTTTGAGTGACATTGTTGTTGATACCAAATTTTGGTCTCGCCTATTAAGATATTACACGTGGATATTTATTGAATCAATTATTGTATTTTATCTTGTTTTTAAGGCTAAAAAATAACGTCACTTATTATAACCTCTGGCCAATATAAATATCCCCTCTATTATGGACAAAAGAGATAAGTCTGAGAGGCTACAAATATTAATTTCTTGATCTGCATCATCAGAGAGGCGGGATCCTTTTTATCATTTTCTTACACTTTCCTTACAATTTAATTTCTTTTTATTCTTTCATTTAATTCACAAAAAACTCATAGAAATCCAACAATATAAACGGTTCTCTGAATACCCTCCCATGTTGATCAAATTTCGCATATCAACAATTGTTACGAATAATAAATTAATATTGTATACAATTACTTGTGTAAATATATATATATATATATATGGATGCGCTCCGGTGAGAATGGTTCTCAATGAGAGAAATAAGAATACATGAGGTCATCCGATCAACTGATCATACGGATAAAAAACTCAGCACGCGTACATTCAATTAGGACAATAAAGTAAATTTCCACACAATCCACTCCATCTAAACCAACGATATGTGGATCCCACTCCACTAACAAGTCTCTCTCAATCACCTCGTATCTCTCACCTTGCCACTCTCTCTCCTCACCTTTCTCCCTCTCCCATAATTCTCACACACAGACCAAAGCTCCTTTTTTGCTCCATTTCTTCTTTCTGTCTCACACACACACAGACCATGCCACACATACACACACACACAACCACTCTCACTTTGACTACTCCAAACAAATTTGCTGCAACGGCCGGAGCCGCTCGCCACCGAAGCTCGCCGATGCCGACTTTCTGAAAAAGCTGGAGCTTCGACCGGAGAACTCACGTCCGAATGGCGGTCGACAATCTCCGTCGACAGCATGCCTGACGGCCGGAATTTTGGCAAGGCTTCCTTACGCCTCGTCCAAGCATCCATCGCATGCCGCCGGACGCCGTCGGATGCAAAACAAACACATAGACACATATATACAACGACCAAGATACGATGATTGACCGACGCCGGGATCCTAAAGTTTGTCTGACCGTGTCGATGCCAGCACTTGCCATTGAACAGTCTCAATTCTCGATAGACTTGGCAGGATAACACAAAATTGGAATTAGGGCTTATGATTGAGAATTAGATATTTTTGAGGGGTTTGATTTTAATTTGAAGAATTTTTGTTATTTTCAATATAGCCCATGGGTTAAATCTCTAATTTATAAAAATATATATTTTTTATCTTTTATACATTTATATATAATCTATTTTGAGTATTTAAGTTTGTTTGATTAACCAACAAATAAACAAAAAATTGCACATTACATAATTCACAATATTATAAAAAAAAAAAAANNNAAAAAAACAAATGCACATTAGTGACAGTCAAACTGCACAATATTAACAGATCAAATGCACAATAGTTGAGACTCCACATTATATAAAATAAAAAATACCATAACCGCCAACTTATAAGTATATTAACTAGTTTGACTAACAAAAATATAAAGTATTAAATAAAAATTATAAATGTTAAATATATTTATTATATAAATAATTTAATATATACACAATCATATAAATTGAAATACACATTATTTTTTTCTAAAATTAGAAGGCAGTAAAAAAAACAAAAAAATACACGCACAATTTGTTCCACAGTAATGTTAGACTAGATGCACAATATTATATGTGAGAATGCACATCAAATTCAGATTTCATGTATTATGTTTTTTTTTTCAACTAAAAACATTTATAAATTTATTAAATTAAATTATTGAACTACTAAATATAATGTTAATGTAAAATAATATTTTTTATTATTAAGGGTTATACGGTTAACCGGTAGAATACACCAAATAATTCAGATTAGTTTTAATTTACGTGAGATAAAAAGATTGGTCAGACACAAAATTGACCGAGACTATGCACAATTATGTTCGACAAGTTGCACATTAATGTCTGTCAGAATGCACACTATTGATCAAGAATGACCGAATTAAGATTTTTTTGATTTGTTTGTTTTATATTTATTTAATTATCTATATTTTACTTTTCCAATTTTCAATATTTCGATTCTATGCCAATATCATTATTTAAAATGACCGAAACAAACAAACAAACAAACAAACAGAAAATAAACATTGCAAAAATCTATATTTTTAATTAAATTGCGATATAATTTTTGATGTGCATTTTAACACACGTATATTGTGCATTTGTTTGGATGATATTGTGCACTTATTATAGTTTTGATAAATTACAAGAATGGCTCACATTAAAATAAAAAGACAAAATAAAAATTAAAATTGCATTAAAGTCCCTATCACTCATTCAATTCTAAGAACTCAGCCCCTCGGAAAAAGAAGGTCACGTAAGTCCTCTGCCCCCTCCCTATCGACGCCCTCCGCCCGCCATCCTCCGCCCACCGCCCGTCGCCGGCCGCCGTCCTCCCTCTGTCCACGTGCACCTTCTCCAACCAGCTCGACGGCGTTCTGCTTCGTCATTCTCTTCAACTCACGCGGCATGGCTGTCGTCACCATCAGTACAAGCGTGGCGCACGTAGGGAGACTGACCGTGGCTATGGCGATAACGGGACCAGCTGGGCTGTTGCAGCGGTGAGATGTGGGTTCGACTGTGCTTGTGGAGGCGGACGACGTGGCAGACGGTGTAGCGGCTGACGCCGGCGACGTCAATGGAGGGAGGTT